AAAATTAGCGATCATAATGGATTAACACATGTTTGACGCGGGCATCCCCATGTGCGCATCCTTTGTCTAGAGCTTCAACTCCTCAGCGTCTGGGTATGGGTGCGTCTGGGTATGAGCGAGTCTTGCCGACAATACTGGCGCCAACGGGCTGGTGATATACCTCGTGCCAGCTCCCCATCGGGGCGCTCACGTGTCGTACACACTGCATTGCGATGACACAACAAGATTCGACTACTGGGCAACATCAGGCACTTCGCCCGAGAAGTCCCCAGTCTGGTCGGGAACGAGCCCGTGATATGCACCCTGGCGGCTTACCCTTTGGGAAGATGAAAAGCTATGCCTGCTAAATTGGTGATTGACATAGGGTTCTGCCCGTCCACTCTGCCAAAACAGACGCTTTGTGGAAAACCTGCCCGCAATCTGCGCGCGAACGGGCCGAGGAGCCCTGCGTGTCGCAACACGGTGCTCATGCTGCCGGTCCGAAACAGCCGTTTCGCCTGAGGCATCCCCACAGTCTGCGTGCGAACGTGCCCGTGACGCACCCTCTGGCGGCTCCCCCACTGGAGCGCCCGAGTGCTACCCTGCTACATTGCATTCATCATGGGGCTGTGTGTATATTTTGACATGGATTACAACAGGAGAACGAATAATGACATAAACTACACATAAAAACTCAGAGGTCCGCGCGGATCTCCAAGCTTCTATGTTTATGCCATTCTTCGTTCCCCTATGCATTCATCATGGGCTTGTATTTTTGGAAACGGACTACGAGGCTGAGGATGAGCGCCAACGGACTGCCTCGACGGTGAGATCGGACCGCTCTGGGTGCAAGCCTCTGCCTCTCGCGGTCGGTGCCCAGAGGTCCGACCGTGGACACCCTGCGCGGCACCCAAAACAGTTGGTGGTCCTGTGCGGTGGGGTTTCCCCCTCCCAAAAAATAGCGGAACGAGCAATGACATAAACATAATAACTCGGAGGTCCGCGCAGATTTCTCGGATAGGCGCTGGGGCACCTCGGCGGCGCCTCCGGCGCCGCCCCTGCCGCGCTCCGCGCGCCATGTAGGGGGGTCCAGCGCCGATCCGATAAATCCGCGCGGACCTCCGAGTTTTATGTTTATGCCACTGTTTGTCCCCCCCCAAGACAAATTCCAAAGGCCAAGAACATGTCAACCAAGCAAAAACATGTCAACCAAGGATGCGTCGACTGAACCACAGCAAGCGTTTCGCCTGAGATGCATCCACGATCTGAGCACGAAGGGGCCCGCGAAATACCCCCGGGCGACTCCCGAACGAGATGTACAAGTGCTTATGCCTGCCACATCGTTGCAATCGTGGGGCTCTGGGAAGAAAGCTGCCCACTGAGCCAGAAGCGGCATCTCGCCTGAGAAATACCCCAAAGTCCGGGCGCGAACGGGACCGTCAAAAACCCCTTGGCCGTTCCCCGCAGGGTGCCCAAGTGCCACGCATGCTACATTGCGATGATCATGGGGCTCTGGGAACAGACTCGCCTACTTGGCCGAAACAGCCGTCTCGCCTGAGACATGACTACAATATGCGCGCGAACGGGCCCGTGATGTTCTCCCTGGCGGCTGCCCAACTGGGGCGCCCAAGCGCCACCCTGCTACATTGCAATCAACATGGGGCGCTGAAGGGAACCGGTGTTTCGTCTGAAACGCACCCACGAGGATTGCGGTAACCATAGAGCTCTAATTAGCCTGGCGAAAGACCCAACCATGCGCAGTTGTGACTACCGCACTTGCGAATAACATCTTCGCCCGCGCTCCCGATGCGGCCACAACTTCCCGCCCGAGCCCGACATGTTCAGGGGCACGTTCGTGGCCGTCTTCGCGGGCGCCGACGACGACGAGGACGGCGTCCCCCTGACCGAGGAGCAGAAGCAGGAGAAGGCTCTGAGAGCCATTAGGGAGGCTGCCGCTGGAGCCTTCGGTGGAGCTCCCTATGGGGCCACGATCCTCGTGAGGAGTGTGCCGAAATGGCCCGAGGCCGCCATGCGAACGCGGCCACTGGGGCCTTCGGTGGAGCTCCCTATGGGGCCACGATCCTCGTGAGGGGTGTGCCGAAATGGCCCGAGGCCGCCATGCGAACCCTGCCACTGGGGCCTTCGGTGGAGCTCCTATAGGGCCACGATCCTCGTGAGGGGTGTGCCGAAATGGCCCGAGGCCGCCATGCGAACGCGGCCACTGGGGCCTTCGGTGGAGGCCACGATCCTCGTGAGGGGTGTGCCGAAATGGCCCGAGGCCGCCATGCGAACGCGGCCACTGGGGCCTTCGGTGGAGCTCCCTATGGGGCCACGATCCTCGTGAGGGGTGTGCCGAGATGGCCCGAAGCCGCCATGCGAACACGGCCACTGGGGCCTTCGGTGGAGCTCCCTATGGGGCCACGATCCTCGTGAGGGGTGTGCCGAAATGGCCCGAGGCCGCCATGCGAACGCAGCCACTGGGGCCTTCGGTGGAGCTCCCTACGGGGAAAACGATCTTCGTGAGGGGTGTGCCGAAATGGCCCGAGGCCGCCATGCGAACGCGGCCACTGGGGCCTTCGGTGGAGCTTCCTATGGGGCCACGATCCTCGTGAGGGGTGTGCCGAAATGGCCCGAGGCCGCCATGCGAACGCGGCCACTGGGGCCTTCGGTGGAGCTCCATATGGGGCCACGAAACGCTGTACTGGGTGGGTGAAACGCGGAGGAGGAGGAGGGGGAGGAGGAGAGGAGTGGAGGGGAGACGCGGGCCACCGTCTCTTCAAAACGAGGACCCAACACCACAGGATGGTTGGGAAAAAGAAATTCGCCAACTAGGCTACATGAGGCATTTTGCCAAAGATGTCCCCACTACACGGGCGCGAACTGGCCCGTGATAAATCCCCTGGCGGTTTCCCACTCGGGTGATATACATTCCTGCGGCTCGCCCTGGGTTCCCAAATGTCAGGCCTGCCACGTCGCAATGACGATCATGGGGCTGTGAAAATGGATTCGTTCGCTGGGTCGACGCAATCGTTTCGCCTGGGACTTCCCCACAACTGGAGCTCGAAAGGGCCCGTGATATCCCCCCTGGCGGCTACCAATTGGGCTGCCCACGTACCATGCCTCTTGCACTGATGAGCTGGATTCTGACTGAGGGAGAGTCTGGGTGTGAGCCGGTATCAGTGTTGAGGGTATACGGGTCTGAACTAGCGAGCGCGAGCGAATGTGAGCACGAGTGTCTGAACAGAATGTGATCGTGGTAAATATGAGTATGGGCGAATCTGGGTATGAG